TATAAGGAGAGTGAGCATAGCAGTCTCCTACAGGAACAAGTAGAGCTGCATGATATTTTCAAAGTGGAAGTCTTAAAGAAATGAATTCCAATGAGACAGACATTGAAAGGCAGAAACAGTTGTTGAAATTCCAGGTAGAAAGAAAAGCTCCTTTCTCTTTTTATTGTCTTCCTGAAAAAAAGAAAAGAAAAAATAAACAAACTCTAAATGTCTTAAGTTTTAGGAAAAATATTCTATTAGTGAGTCAGACTTTCAAAATAATGTTAGCAAAGGAAGTGACTGTCAATGCGTGGGTGAAGTCTTTTTTTAGAAGTCACATGAAAAAAAAAATAGGCCTGTACAGTTCTGAAACATTCTTCCCCCATCTGGTTAGAGCTTCCCTAAATGTCCAGGCTACTGTAGACAAACAGATTCATTTTGCTTTCTGCCCTATTGCTTTGCACATCCCAAGAATCAGCTAAAGAATGCTATTATTTTCTTTGATCAGTCTATCTACCTTAACACTTCAGTGACTTTGTCATTCCTCTTTCATTGCCCTGAAATGTCATTTCACTCCTTTTCTTCCACTTGACAAAATCTTAGTGATCTTTCAAATATCTGATTTAATACCCCGTACTCCTTGAAGCCTTCACTGATTTCCAAATTTATAATTAGTGCCTACTTTCCATGGGCCTCTTTAGAAATTAATCCAGTATACCTTATTCTGTAGAGAACTTCACTGACTTCCCTGCTAGATTCAGATATAGTTGAAGCCTAGAAAATTATTTCATTTTTATATGTGCTAAGGACATGTTAAGTATCAGGAATTTAGTAGTGCACACACTTCCAGGGGCTATATAAAACCTATCATGAAACCTTAGATTATATTCTCCTGTCAGAAAGCAGACTGACACAGGCATTTGGATTCAAGTAGTTTATTTGGGAGTTGAGTGGGGAAATAAGATAGTTAAAGGAAGGAAAACAGAAAAAGGAACATTAATAATGGGGAAGTTTCTGCTGTGGGCAACTGGACCAAGTCCTGCTGAGGACCCTTATAAACCATGTGGAACATGCCTCCTGAAATGAGGGAGCAGGGTATAAACCCCTCTGCACTACTTATTTGAAGAATGCTCCAGGGAATGCCATAGGGAGAGGAGGAGAGGTGAGAACTAGAAGCTACTTATGACTTGCCCAATATGCAAGCCAAGTATTCCTCCAAGTAGCCAGAGAAGACCCTAAGGCAGACATCCAGGTACCCAAGACAGAAAACCCTGGGCAGGTGCTGTTATGGTTCAAAATAGCACATGACCTGGAGGGTAGGCCAAGGGAACAGAAGTGGTGGCAGCAGCATCCCTGGTTACAAGGTCTTACACAGATACTATCGAGTTTATTCAAATTGCTGAGTTTGAAAGAACCTAGATGCTATTCTTAACAAAATGTAAGTGTTGAAAAAGTACTGAGTTTACTCTTTTCTAAGGAAACTAAAGGATGTTTTAGTATATTTTCCTTACCAAACCATACATATGTGTGTATCAAATTTGATTTCTTGTGAAATACTGAACTATAAAAAGATTTTACTTTCACAAATAAATTAGATTATTCCTGACAAACACTAAACTCCAAGAGCAAGTTTTGAAGGTATTTCTTGTGAAGAGTATACTCTATATTTACCTTGAAATTTTATATTTCTCATTAAAGAGTGTTATCTGGTAATTGTAGAAAAGTTATAAAGTACAAAAGAAAAAAATTGAAAAATAAAACAAGTCATTGGCCCCACCAAGTTACTTGCAGAGAAAAGTAATATGGAATACTTCTATGTGTAATATCAGAGCAATTACCTTATAATTATCTACTGTCCATTGCCTCACTTATGCTAGATTATTAATAAGCTACCTGTTATTAAGTGACATACTTATTACCTGTCCTTCTTAATATTTAAATTTCCTAAGCAGAGTCAGCATCTAGAAAAGAATATTACTACTTATATATAAAACATGTAGAATTCTTAAAGATATTAATTTTTATTATTAATTATCCTAAATATGGTAATAGTATAATCAGACCAATATTTATGTCTGGAAACTATGGAAGCTTTATCTTTAGCATGGCCTATAACATTTTTTTGTGAATGTTCAACAGATTCTTAAAATCGTTTTGTAGTCTTAGTTTTTTGAGGGATATGTCTGTCATCTTCACACTAAAATATTGAAGATTGCTCAGTAACATTGCAGTAGAAAATCGCATATATACTTATTAATCAAACACTTCAATGATGTCCTATAATGATAAAAATTTAGTCAAGTATGATGTTTGAAGAAAAATCTATATTTAGAATTTGGTCCCCTATTCATTACAAACTTGAAAATATGAACTTTCCTTAATGTCATCCAAAGCATATTTTGCCAAGGCAGAGAGAGCAGAATGGAGGAAATCTATGTCCAGAATATACACACAGGTACATATTCTCTTCAATTCCAGTGCACACCATGGAGCACATATTAAGTTAAAAGAATCCTTCTAAGAATGTATTTGGTTCAAAATCCAACCACAAATTCACAAAAATAGCATTCCTCAGTGTTTATCATAAGGCCAACTGTGTTCTTCTTGAAGTCCTCATGCTGTCTTAACATTTATAGTAATGGATAGTGTAGTTGTAGATATAAAAAAAAAGACATTTAGTTCTAGCATTTTTTAGTCATCATTAGGAGAGAGTGACAGAAAAACTACTGGAAAATAATATGCAACTAAAGCATGTAATCTGTTAGAAGGTTGTATTCTCTGTAGTTAACATTTTTGAAGAATTGAGAGCTTACAAATCCAGAACTACCACTGTTACTATAAGAAAAAAATATTAATTAGGTCTAGAGTGTGGCTCAAGTAGTAGAGTGCTTGTCTAGCAGGTACAAGGCCCATAATGCAAACCAAAAAAGGAAAAAGTATTAAGGAAAAAAAATTAAAGGAAATGGAATTGTATCCCAGTAAAGCCAAACAGTAAGGTGAAACATCAGAGATCACAAGTAGATTGTGAAGAAGACTACAATAGAATGAAATGCCCCTCCTAGAGACAGTCAATTCATTTCTACTCTTTTTGGGAAGAAAAGCTTTTTGTAAAATAACCTTGCTAGAGCTCTGACTTGAATTTAACACTACTTTTGCTAAAGTTTCGTAACCATGCAATTGTCTGTAAGACTTATAGCTCTATCTTCATGAATTCTGTTATTTTGAATACTTTAGCTGCCACTGAAGACTTCTAGCTCTTCAACACTTCTATTATTGGCCATAATACTTTAAAAACCTGCTTCTCTGGTAAAATGTTTGATCCATGTTCAGACAGCAAATTCACAAATACATTTTAGATAGTAATGTGTGGTTAAGTTGGAAGCCGATTATGTTAATTTTTTCCATACAGAGAGGTTGGTTTTTTTTTTCACTCAGGATAATGATGAATCAGAAGACAACATTGCTTCACAGTTTAAGAAACTACTTCCTGCCCTGAAGGAGTTAATCACTAAAGACTACCAAGAAATTCAAATTCTAAGATAGTGGCTTATAGATTAGAACCAGCCCATTATTTTCTAATGTAAACTCAGAATAATATCATCAGTGCTTATGGAAATGAGTTATTCATGGGTTTTGGTGGTATGAGAAACACGCCCTCCAATTTCTTGTCTATACATGTGCACATATGGAACAAATCCACATAAACACCTGCCAAAAAGAGAGAAAAAAAAGAGGATTTTTTTCTCCTCAATGTTAGCAGTTAATCCTTTTAATATCATGAGAGGCAGAGAAAGGCAAAGTGAAACCGGTTATAATATAATCTTCCTAACTTTCCATAACTTTTTATTGTTATCATAGGTTTAAGGAAGCTGTGCAATTCTCTTGCATCAACATCTAATAATCAAAGCAGTGTCATATTTGAGGACTAATTTCCTGGACCTAGAGTTACCAAGTTTATCAAAGTATAGCTTGATTTATATCTAAACTGCATAAGGTTTAGATTTGCTGAGGTAAAAAAAAAATGATGTTTCTAATTAATGCTGCCCATTGCTTTGATTCAACTAGGTAAATTAAAAGTGACTTGAATGACTACATTTGGTCTGTATAAGATTTCAAGGGTTGTAGAATGCTATTGTTATTACAACAAAAAATCAGATGAAAGGAACATAAATTTAACCTCTAGAGTTTAGATGAAGGAATGGCCAGAAGTATTTTCATGTATGAGGGAAAAATATAACTAAAAATAAGATGCACGAACAATTAAATATTGCCCTCACATTACACTCACTGCTTTAGAATGAATAGGTTCTTACTGGTTTTTAAATTAAAGGTTTTGAGATATTAAAGTAAAATTGTTAATTACTCATTTTATCTTTAAAAAACAAAGTTAGAAAAATAAATAAATAAAAACTTAGCCAGGTGGCAGTGGCTCACACCTGCAATTCTAGTTACTTAGGAGACTGAGAATGGGGGATCACAGTTCAAGGACAGCCCAGGCAAATATTTCACAAGACCCCATCTCCAAAATAACCAAAGAAAAATTGACTGGAAGTGTGGCTCAAGTGGTAGAACACCTGCTTTGGACATAACCCTGAGTTCAAATCCCAGTCCCACCCGAACTAACTAACTTAATAAATCAATAAACAGACAAATTTATGACCCTGCATTATAGATCCTAGAGAATAATAATCTAGTGATTCAAATAAGTTGATTAATTTAATGTATTCTCTGTTCTAGAATGTTTTGCTTAAATTTATATGTAAAATTATTTTTATTTATTCTGTACTTAAATAAAATACACCTAAACATTCATACGTACTACAAACAGATGTATTAGAAATAAGATGTGTACATATGTATAGAATATTTCATTAGGTCAGATACATTTAATCAATAAATAATCACTGAACAGCTACCACATTCCAGGCAAAGTGGTAGATACGACGACTCCCGCCCAGGCCCGCGCGCAGGGGGCGCCTCTCCTCGGGGTGCGGGGTCGTGGGGCCGCCGGGCGGGGCCTCATGGAAGCCGATCACACTGACACTTGCAGAGAAGAGGCCGAGGTGCTGGGGACCGAGGCGAGGGTCCACGTCCGAGTGACAAGGTGTCAAGTAGGGACGCGGTCCACTCCCATTGCCACTGGTTGCACCATATACCCTAAGTTCTGCGAGATCAACCTGGTTGCGGTGTCTTCCATTTACTTGGCGGGCAAAGTGGAGGAGCAACGCTTGCGTACTCGTGACATCATCAGCGTGTCCACCAGGTACTTTAACCTGAGCAGCGAGCCCTTGGAGCTGGACTCGCGCTTCTGGGAGCTCCGAGACAGCGTCGTGCAGTGTGAGCTCCTCAGGCTCAGAATTCTGCGCTTCCAGGTGTCCTTCCAGCATCCACTCGAGTACCTGCTCCACACCCTGATTGCCCTCAAGAATTGGCTGAACCGTCACAGCTGGCAGCGGACCCCCACCTCTGTCACAGCTTGGGCCCTGCTGCGGGGCGGCTACCCTGGGGTCTGTGCCTCTGGCTCCAGGCTCAGCACCTAGCCGTGGCAGTGCTCTGCCTGGCGCTACGGGTCTACGGAGTTGAGGTGCCTGCTGAGGCCGATTTATACCATGGACACACAGATCCCCTAAGGCCCTGGTCCAGGCCTGCCCAAAGAGAAGCCCAGAATGGTCGACTGCCTGGCGACGGTGCCACCATGTCTCTGTGACGGCCAGTCCCCAGAGGACCAGTAGGGAGGACTGGTTCTGCTACTGGATATGGGCTGGTGAAGGTGATGCCATGCTGCTGCTTTGACTGTCCCCAGCAGGCCTGGTCCAGACAATGTCAAGAGCTATGCCTCCAGCAGGCCTGCCAGGAGCTCACAATGTGTGGCTGCCTTGGGGCAGCCACATCACATCTGCTTTTGCCCTTTGAGATGACTACAACTGCAACTGAGGCATGACATCACTGACAGGAGGGTTGAAGAATAGATGGGACTGCACCCCTAGAAATGTTCTAAAAGCCAGATTTACAGAAAGTAAGAATGTGCAGCATAGATGGATTTTATTTTCTGTAATAAAAATGATGCAAATCAAAGAAAAATATTTAGAGAAAATCTTCACACTAGCAAATGATTGACTAGTATACCTATTTATTATGCATGTGTCTATAAATAATATATACATAAATATACATACATGCATATCTATATATTCTTTATACAAACATACATGGTAAATATGTAGAGGCAGAGAGGAATGGAAAAGAGAGAGAGTAACACAGCATATGCCAAAATAAATTTAAATTGAAAACTTTAACTTTTTATTACTTTTTAAAGGAAACCTATGCTGTTAATACTTTTAAGAAAAAGCTTACTTTTCATCACATAGGTATGTTTTTATTTAATGATTCTTTAAATAATAACATCAAATTCATACAGGCATAACCTTAACTCAGAAAGAAGATACAAAAATGAAATAATTATTATATCATAATAGATTTAAAATCAGTTATTCATGAATGTTTGTTCAATGTTTATGTTGAGGATGACTTTAAGCTCTGGGAACACAGCAGTTGACAAACCATAAATCCCTCCTTAGTGGCACTATTGCATGATGCAGAAAGATCAGTCATTTAGTTTCCTTATCTTTATCATAAACAAACACTTAGGACTGGGATTATCACATCTTGCAATCAAACTATATCCATAGACTGTTAATAAATATCAATCAAGGACTCTGAGTCATAAGAAGAGAAAGTATATTTTTATTAACTGAATATGGTAATGCAAATCAGCAACCAGATGTATCATTAGACATCCTTAACTGGTTTGCATAGAGTTGAAATTACATTATGAACGTTAAAAAGGGATAAGCCAACAGTTTAAAAAAGTGGATGTCAAGGGTATTCCTATGTGGTTGATTAACTTTACCAATAGATTTATATTCTCTGTAAAGCCATTACTAATAATTCCATTTGCATAACATACAATTAAGTGGCTTATGGCTCCAACACTACAGTAGCAGCCACAGGCTAAGAACCAGAAATCATCTCTGAGTTAAACAGTGAGGATTGTTCAATAGTACATTTAGAAATAATACAGGTCAAACTTACAGGTTACTCTTACTTAAAATAAATCCTTACAACTAACTTCTTAAAAACACTGACATCGCCAGGCACTGTGCATTTCATATATACCATCTTCTATTTTCACAGAAAGCCCCCACAACAGGACATAACTTTCCTATTTTACTAATGAAGAAAATGAGACTAAGGGGTGTGAAGTGACCTATCCAAGATCATAGAACAACACTGTATTCAGAAAGTACATTTTAAATGGCTTTGTCAGTTGTCTCCAAGCTCACTGGACCCTATTCAGCCTGTCAGTCTGACTAAGTCAGGCTTAGAAGTCAAAGTATGAAGTTTTGAATCTAGTGTATAATTCAGCTAACTGGAGCAATGCCAAGTAGCTTGACTTTTTTCAGTATAATAAGGTCTAATTTTGTTAAGAGTATAGGTATTCTCCTTTGTACTTTAACTTTCCTTCACATTCATACAAAAAAGGAATGAGACTGAAAGTACAAATAATTACAACAACTTGGTCATTGTTACTTTACTGTCAATATACTTAGAGAAAAAAATAGCTTTCTAATATTCTCTTAAATTCTGAGATAACAAAACCCTCCCTCAAAAACCTATTCTATGACCAATGGACTATAACCAAAGAGATAAAATACTGTTACTACTAATAATAAAAATATTTGCTCCTCCAGTCCAGTGATAATTAAAAAGCAATTTGTCCACTATAAAGTTGAAGTTTAGCTTTACCAGACTCATAAAAGGAAAAAAAGCAACTTTCCACTGCAAATACTTTTTAGAGGTATTTAGTGTGTTATGGGAGGTTTATAATTACAATATTTTTCCTGAATATGAGTGAAAACACTCATATGAAAAATAATAGGATATGTGGAAATAATTTTCATTGAATTTTTACATTTTAGATTTTGGTAATTAAATAGTGGGAAAAAACTAGAATTTAGGATAAATAGATGCTAAAAAGAAAATTAAAATATTGCTATAGACTTTGCCAGGCTATACATTCAAAACAGAGATTTTTGAAAGCTATATGCCTTATTCTGTAAGCAACCCTTAATGTAGGTGTTTCAAAATGAGTGAGATTCATTTAAATCATTTCCTCCACCAAAAGAACATGAACTTGACAGACATGTACTAAACTAATCTAACCTGTTTTTCAATATCAGAATCTACCTACCGGGAAGCTAGCCAACAAAGAAGAAATAACAACTGTCTAATGAAGCAAGAATAAAATCACATAGAACATAACAAGGTAAAAATGTAGTTGAGCAAAGTCACATTGCGCTCAGTCCAAAATAGGTTGCATCTGTGTGTATACTCAGTATCAAAATCAACCTTTAACTAACAGTGGGGAACAGAAAAGGACCATGAAATATGTCTGAAAATAGCCTTCATTTAGATGGTTTAGTGAATCTTTGAGAGGTGTGGTCTGACTGAATGCCAAAAGCAACAAGGAGAAATTCTGGAAAATATTTTGCCATCCCATACCTGAAAACTAGTATACCTATGTGATGGGACTATGTCAGAATTAGCCAGGGGGCTGTGAGGGTTTTTTTAAAAATCTATATACAAGTATGGGAGTAAAGGTAATGCCAGAACTGGAAAGCCTAGACTAAAATTAAGGCAAGAAGAGATTATTTCTTTCATTTCCACTTTCTAACAAATACCAGCATATGGAACCTTGACAGTATACTTAGATGGAAGCTTTTATTGAGCTCCCAAGGTACCCCAGCCTTCTGAAAATCCTGAAGATATAGTTATATAAATATAAACTCTAAAACCATGGGAATATGGTAGTTAGTTATTGTCTGAAAGAAGACATGGTGTATGATCTATTGTGATCTTTCTACTATTTAGGACCTAAGATCTTTTAAATTCTATTAATTTTCTCCTTGACTTGCAAGGAGAAAGATGAATTTAGATTATTGTATACAAATGACATGAAAAATTGCATAAATCCTCTTATTTAAGGAGCACTAGAAAGGTTCCTCAAAGTTTCTCCCATTCTAATGTTCTCTTATTGTCCTTGGTTCACACAACTAAAATGCACTTACTATTCCAGTGAGAATGGCTCATCAGGCTGTTATATGGCATAACCTTTCATTTATGATATGTACACCAAGTGGCATTCCACCATAGCAGCTGTCTAACAGGAAATCTGAGTGGGAGGGATGTACAGGCAAACATTGATTAGGAAGAAAAGATTAAAGACAGAAGTTGGATCCGTCCTAGGAAGGTCAGACTGGGCAGGATTTTGTGTCTTCAGGGTTCTCCAGGAGCCTGGAGACCAAGTAGAAATTGGCTACACATAAGAGACGAGAACAAGGAGAAGGAGACACAATAGAAAGTGAGATGGAAGACACAAATAATAAACTCAATCAATATGTCCCTGGAGAGACACCCCAAAGTCCAGGGTCTTATTGTACTGAAAATATATTTTAAGACAACAAAATTCCTCTTAATCTCACCCTCAGCTTTACCTATACTTACATCCCATATTTTATTGCTAAAAAAGACAGCCTCATAGAGATTATCTGGCTCAAAGTGTTCAATTAGAGGATATGGAAGCTCAGACCCAGCAATGTTAAGTAACATACCAAAAGTTACCCAACTAGTAAGTTGCAGAATTTCCTCCAGACAACTAGGTCAGCTTCCTTCTTGGTATTCTATGCCAATCTTCAATTATTTCTATTTCCTTTTTGCATTTTGCCTCATCTCAGTACCATCAGTACTGTCATTTCTAAATTGCCTTGTTTTTTTACTTAATATAACACTTACATAAAGAAAAAACTCAAGCTTTAACAACACAAATTGGAAAAACAAAATTATTTGCCATAAACGGAAAATAGGAGTAAATATAAATACAACAGAACAAAAATAGCAAAGTATGGTACAGGTTCCCTAATCCAAAGATCTGAAATCTGAAATGTTTCAAAATTCCAAACTTTTTGAGAACTTATATGAGGCTTCAAGTGGAAAATTCCATGTTACCTCATGTGATGGATCCCAGTCAAAATTCAGGTACATAAAAGTTTATTTACTATTCCCAAGAAAAGACCAACCCAGCTTCCTTCAACTATGATGTATCTTTTCCATGTGTGAACCTATTCTGTGTAAGAAAAAAATCAAAAAATTCTGGGCCAAAGCATTTTGAATAAGGGTTACTCCACCAATAGTGATATCTGGCCAGTACTTACCTGATGAAAACTGTTACCAGAAATCTACCCTTCTTTATTCAAATGGAGGATTAGAGAAACTGAGACATTAACACAAACTGAGTCTGGATTGAAAGGTTTTTTTCAAGATAAATACCTTTGTCTTTAAGAGATTCTATGCTAATTAGTGTATTACTCATGGATTTCATGGAGTCATGCTTTGTGCCTCCTAATATCATCTTGGATATTAACAGTGGCACATGACCCATATTTCTGGAAAACAAGGCTCAGCGGCGTCATCTGGGATTGGTAATTTGAGTTATATGATACTTTACTAGTAGCTGTATTTAAAATTTAAGGGCTCACAGAGTGGTTCAAGTAGTAAAGTGCCTGCCTAACAATCATAAGACCTTGAGTTCAAATCCAAAAACCACTAAAAAAACTACTTAAAATATTTTTTAAATAATTTTTAATTCAT